CAGAATTTCGGTAACAATGGTTCAATATTATAAAAAATATGCAGTTTTATAAAAATTAGTCATATAAAGAAATATGTAGAGTATATATACATATCTATCCAAATTATGGTTTTATTTTAAGCACATACATCTACAATTTATTTATTAGTACTACATTTCCAAATTAGAGTAGGCTTGCGTTAATAATAATACTACTTAATTTAAGAATTGACATAATTTCAGGATAAGTGAAATTTATCCAATAAAAATATGTCTTTCGAAGCCGATAAAGTAAGTCATATATATTTAAAAAAAATAAACAGTTACATATATAATCTTTGAAACTAAAAGAAACTATATATATATAACATCGATTTCATTTAAATACTTAACTTTCATATTGGAACCATTAAACATATATTTATATATGTTAATCTATATATACAATAAATGTTAATGCAGTGCAATTTCAAACTCATTTATATTTATTTTTTTTATGTCCACCGATGGGAATATAATTGTAAAATCGTTAGCCGTAAGACCTTCGATGTAATGAGCTATGTTGGACATTTTTACATAAACGAACCATTTGTGTTAGAATGCCCAGTAATTCTAGATGTTTAGTGTCTATTTAAGTACTGATATATTACTACAGTATTAAGCCACGTACTTTAAAACGATGTGCAATTTATATTTAAACTGTTCTGTAATTGGATATAAATGTTTTATTAATTATTTTGACAGTAGTGTCATTGATCCTACCGTTTGACGGTATTGTGAAACTGACATTATGATTTGAAAATTATAATTAATTTATATATTGTTAATATTTTTACGACTCTGAATACGAGTTCTTTCAGGTTGATAATTAATAAGAATGATTTTATTGCCAATATAAAAAAATATATAATATTTAATTTAAGTAAGACTTTTTTTATACCGTATATTACTTTTCTTCTTTTACTTTTCTTAACTTTTTTCCTTTTACAACCCCTTCCTATGAACTATCAGCAAATTTCTTTAACATATTTCCAATAATTTTGCATGGAAATATAATATATACCTATAAACACATTAAGTCGTCGTGGCCTAGAGATTAAGGGCCCGCCTCTCATGCATAAGGGTTCGTATTCGAAATCTAACAAGTACCAATGTGATTTTTCCGAGTCATATGTACTTTCTAAGAGTATTTAGACATCACTGACATACGGTGAAGGAAAAGATCGTAAGGAAACCTGGACTTATAATTTCAGCTTCGTTATTAATGCTCTTATTTTCTCCATGTGAAAAGAGGCCTTTGCTCAGCAGTGGGCACCGATATACTGATGATGATGATTAACACGTTCATACATATTAAGAAAATATCATAGAAGGATTGGTTGTCAATAAACAAAGGATAAAAATATACATATTACTTTGTTAATTTGAAATCTAATCTCTATGGACATAGCAGACTAACGTGTCTAAATATTTAAAATGTTTTGTAATATTTAATTGATTTTACGGCATCTTCAAACGTAGAGTATTAAATTGTTCAATCACATGCACCGAAGCTTTACGCTTCAACGTCTAGTTATTTATTTAAAAGTAAACAAACATTCAGAAATAATAATTATTATATAGAGAGAAACAAAATACTGAAAATACTGAAAAAGTCGCTGAAATCAAGACCTATTAAATCAACACCTTTGTTATTATACAACAATGTCTTGATATATTTTTAATATGAGTACCTATATATTTATATTAGTTTTAATATATGTAATGTGCGCTTTTTATTTAAATAATAGAGTATTTTTTCATTCTACAATGTGTGTAGTGTGTGAAATACCGATTGAATCTAATTTAGTTCTTAAGAATTTAGTTCTTAATATTAACAACTGTGGTTATATGAAAAAAATAATAAAATATAATTTGAATATGGGTATCTCTAACTCACTTCACTATCTTCATCGAGGTAGGGTAGGTACTTATTATTTCGGCATATATTTTCACAAATAATATTTCTTTTCTAAATAATAAGAGATGTTACTCATATTTTTGATGTCGCCTACAAACATTTATGAGTTTCAGTAAATATGTATATTGTTACAATTGGAGCTAGGCGTGAAGTACTAAATATAATATACTTTACTCCTTAGAATTATTTTATGAATAATTATAATTAATTATAATACTGAACTATTGTAATTTTGTTATGGCAAATTGACGTGTCCTTATATTTGAAAAGTACAAATACTGGCTCCAGCCATTTTGAAAGACACTAGGTACCGAAAGTAACTCTTATTATTAAAAATCTGTAACTAGAACAATGTCCATAGGAAATATAAGATACTTTTAATAAATAAGTATGTGTTAGGTGACACAGAAAGGATTGTAGATGTACTGAAACTTTGAGTGACCGTAGTCACGTAAACTTTTTTTGTATTTCCAATTTGTTTCATTATGTGAGATGCTAAATACTTTACAGAATCTGATTTTCAGTACCTAATAAATAGAAAAAGAGTGTAAGATTATATTGAAACGAGAATAATTAGATTTTATATGTGTACATCTTCTTCTTCTACCTGGCAATTTCTCCGCTTTAGCCCTGGCTAACCCTGGTCTGCCTTACATGTTGTGAATAGTTTTAGCTAATTGTTTTTACGGCCGGCCGCCTGCCTGACATCAACCCTCTTTGGGAATGCATTAATCAGTGATGTCAATATACTCTTAGAAAGTACATATGACTCGGAAAAATCACATAGGTACTTGCCAATGCCGGGATCGAATCCGCGCCCTCGTGCATGAGAGGTGGGCCTTTCAACCACTAGGCCACCACTGACTAAACATTGACTATTTGTACATATACATATATACACCAGTAGCTACTAATTCTATATCCATATACATAAATGCTTCAATGTGTATGTCTTATAGACATTCATATGTTCAATAAAACATTAAATTAACGACGGCTATAAAATTTATTCAAGCTAATTTGATTTCAAGCAAACGTAATAAATGCTGCACACTTAAAGTATAAAGTTTGGTATATATAAAATAAATGGATTGAATATATATGTGGAAGTTTTAATTATTTAAAAAAAATGTAACACGCAAATAAAAGATATAGACATATATACTATTACAATTACATATTATTTAGGTATATATGTACATTATAATGCAACAATGATCCAAGATTTTGATAAAATGAAAAGATTTAATTTAATCTTACGCGTCAAATAAAATAAAATATACCCATATTTATTCGTAAACACCTAATGAATGGTTGAAGGAAACATGACTCTTAATTCTTAATTTATATATGTATTTCAATAATTTGGCATATTTCAAATTAATTGAATTATAATTTTCATTTTAATCTTAGTCTGAAAACATAATAATAAAAAACTCTTCTGCTATTACCAATAATATAAAATTTTATTGTGTATTTGTTAGAAATCATTCAATGTTTTTTTCAAAAGAACTGAAAATTAACACCGTTAATATTTGGCTATTAGATTATTAAAAAATAATATACCTCACTTCGTAGAATTCTAAAAAAATTAACTTAATTTACTTACATCTTTTAAATGGTTCGTCAGTCGAATGTAAATTTCGATAGAAGTCATCAAAAACGTATTAGTTATTGAAAATAAATACCAACGATACAAATTACTATGAAGAGAACAAACAGACCTTCTGTATTATTAAAAATATATTGCTTTGAAAAACTATCAAACGCTATGTATTGGCTATAAGACATACATATTTGAACATTTTTATATATGCAGATAGAATAGGTCTATAGGACTACTAGTATATATTATATTATATATATCTTCTTCTACCTGGCAATTTCCCAGTTTAAGCCAGGATCTGCCTCACATGTTGTTAATAGTTTTGGCTAATTGTTATTACGACCGGCCGCCTGCCTGACATCAACCCTCATTGGGAATCCATTAATCAAAGAAGTCTAAATACTCTTAGAAAGTACATATGATTCGGAAAAATTACATTGGTACTTGCCAGGGCCAGGATCGAACCCGCGCCCTCGTGTATGAGAGGCTAACCACTAGACCACCACTGACTTCATATATTCATATTCTCGTCTCAATACACTCTTGCACTCTTTGTATTTATTACTGAAGATCAGATTCTGTAAAACATTTAGCATCGCACATAATGAAACAAATTGGAAATAGGAAAAAAGATTATAGCCAATAGACTAAGTAGGTATATGTAATTTTAAGTCATCAAATATTCTAAGTTTTATAACGATATTCGTACTAATTGTATATTTATCTAAATAGTTTTAATGTTGTATTAGAATTTAACATTTAGGTCTTATATTTATTAATATATAATATATATAAATAAGTATAAAGTAGACTTATGTATTTAAATAAATGTCCCAAGATGTACTTATATTGAACAAATTCGGAAATAATATTTGTAAGATGACTGTTTTATAATAACAAACTTCTAGAATGTACTAATCTAGATTATAATCATTCATATAGGAATTCATTTATGTATTTGTGTGTTAGAATTAATTATATTATGTATAATTCATAACATACTAACATGAAATTATACTTGATTAGCAAGATTTACTTCTAAGATTACCATAAAAGTACAGAAATCTTTTTCCTGCTTTATAAATCTCATTCCAGTATTTTGTAAACGATGAAATGGTTACAATCCTATATATGTATTTACTTCTAAACTGTGCGTTTAATAGTAAAATGTTATTTAATATAAAAAATAATAAATAACAGCAGTGTTATTCGATAAAATGTATGTAAAACACTAATCTGTGTAAATAACAAGAGTCTGATTCAGTTTTATTCAGAGAATTTATAAATAAAATGAAATAAATACAAAGAAAATTAAGTATTTAGTGCGCCTATAACTGATCAATATTGTTTTGATTATTGACAGTAGAGCAATTATAACTATAGTGTTTTTACGGAACTCATTCGTTGGAATGAAACCATATTTTGGGCCCTAGAATGTATAAAAGTATATCCTACCTCCATTATCAGCGTTGTTGGCTTCGAAGGTTTTGCTGGTCATGTGGAAAAGCGCGTCTAGAGGCGTGTGGGGCGCGTTGGAGGCTTGAGGTCGCCTCGGCTCGGAGCAACAATCTGATGCTGAGGAGGATCTCTCTGAAGCTGAGTCACAGCATTCCGCTTGCATGTCCCTCGGCCGCAGAAGCCCTAGCGCCGCTAACCTCCAGCGTTCACCGTCTAATAGAGCAGCTCCCGCCAAGCGCTGAAGCCGCTGCAATCTCTCGAATCCAGAAGCATCCCACGGCCGGACTATTCGCGGTGGTGTTCTTGGACTGTGCGACAATATGTCCAGTATGGAGAAGCTCTTAACGCCTTCTCCTCGCCTTTCCTCAACCGGTTCCGAAGCCATCTTCAGTCGTTTCAGCGGTCTGAAGTAGTCGTGCGGTGAAGGCGACCTCGAGGGCGCCGGCGAGGGCCTGCCTACACTGATGTCGTCCTCCGAACTGTTCCCGGACATCGACTCCTCCATCATCACACATCCATCACACGCTCCGCTCGCTGTGTCATACGATGCTGACCGGGCGACGCGGCTGGCACGACTGACGATCACGGAGACGGTACAGCCCGAGCCTCATTTAGAGGCGGACCGGAAACGGAATCCACCAATCGTGGAGACGCGTCACGAGCAGCGGCAACGACGATTGGTCGGAAGGAACAGCTCTATACGTTGGGGCTTTCACACTCGGCGCTCCAATAAAACTTTTTAATCGGACCCACGATTGGGGGGCGAGATTCATGGTGTGATTAATTTAGCTGCGGGGCGGGATGAAGGGGCTCTTGGCTCCAGGGCGAGGGGGTCGGGGGCGACGGGAGGGGGGGGGGTCGTTTAATTACCGCGATGAAGACGCGACTCTAACAACGGCCCTACATTATTTAGCGTTGGACTGACGTTTGTCACTTGAGAAATTGCTACTTTACTTCATTTATAGTTCATCGGCTAATTGTCAGGCTCTGGGGGGCTCCTTCATATGATGGACGATTATGAGGAGGGGGAGGGGGGGACGTCTAATACAGCGAATAATAAGCGACAACTCGTTATATTATCATTATAATATTTAAAATAACAGTTCAATAGTAGGTATCTAAGAGTATTAGTTATATATATGTATACTTATCTATTATTAAATTTCAAATGTTCTCATATATAAAGTTTTATATCTCCTATGTAAATTCTTTGTTGTTGAATTGTAGTAGAAAATAATATTTTCAGTGTCATATGTTATACCTATAATTTTTATAATATTGAGTCAGTGGTGGCCTAGTGGTTAAAAGGCCCGCTTCTCAGTTCTCATGCTCGAGGGCGCGGGTTCGATCCTGGCCCTGGCAAATACAAATGTGATTTTTCCGACTCATATGTACTTTCTAAGAGTATTTAGACATTACTGATTAATGCATTCCCAAAGAGGGTTGATGTCAGGCAGGCGGCCGGTCGTAAAAAAAAATAGCCAAAACTATTCACAACATGTAAGGCAGACCCTGGCTAAAGCTAGGAAATTGCCGTGTAGAAGAAGAAGATGTTAAAGAATTAATCTTATTTATAATATACGTATATAAAAATCAATATTATGCAGAAACACGACAACCATAGCAAAAGTATTAGCTTTTATAAGTCGAGTAAATTAAATCATCAGTAATACGCCATTAAAATCCTAACTACCAACGCAGTAACTTCAAAATTTAAATTTGTTGTGTTAGAAACGCTTCCATTTTGTTTCCGTTATAAATATTAGGGTCGGGCTTGACAGGAAGTCAATGATTGTAAATGTTTTATTTACGTGTAAGTTTTTTTAGTATTTAATATTTCTGTTAAATAAGTAGCATTTGTTATTAATATTTTTCTTACACGTAAAAGGTTAGGTTTATATTTTAAGTACTGTTAGGTTCTTATTGTTATTTGGTCCTAAGTATTTTTATGGTAAAATTGTCGTCGTTAAAACTTTCGGTTTTGAACATTGAAAAATTGTATATAGGTATAGGTAATAAGGAGTAATTCAGTTCACCACCAATTTCAAGGAATTTCTTAATTCTTAGTAAATCTACTTTATATTAGGTACCTACAATCACAATTTTTCGAGTAGGTACCAACTGCTTAAAATCAAAATAAGAAAATTATATTCTGTTCTTTATAATTATAATTAAGAACACTTATCACATTTCATATAAAACTCACAAATATATTTTATAATAAACTTTAAAAATTAATTCCATAACATAGATAATAATTTCGAAGCTATATTTATTCAATAAAAACAATTATTACACAACCAATAGATTTCAATGGACCATGAAAATGGCGGGACGGATAAAAAAAAATCAATTGCTTTTTAGCGATTTGATAGTCCGTGTTATTACATATTTTTTTACATAATTCTGACACCGGAACCGCCATATTGTACGAATGATTGACCAATCACGGGCGTTTCCTGTTATTAATATTTATAATTGAGTTATTATTTTGATACAAATCAGTTGTACCGCCATTATATCTTTATGAAAAATTTATGAGGTCGAAATAGTGGACGTAATAGAAGAGTGATTATAGGTAAAATGTATACAAAATAATAGATAAGTATATAGGATTTATTCATACAAATTCTCATATATGTATATATATTAAAAAAATAATAGCACATAATATATAGGTATATGTTCAAACAATCAAAGTGACATTTAATGTCAAGTTGTTTGTTGACAAGCCTATAATAATGTTGCCATATGAAATGTCCTCTACTAAATGATTATTCATGATCTACTATTTAATATATGAGAATTTTCTTTTTAAGTAAAATTTGTGTGATAACATAAGTTTATGTCACGCTAGCTGCGCCCCGCGGTGTTACCCGCCGATTTTACGGGATGTAAAGTAGCTTATGTGTTATTCCTGGACGTCAGCTTCCTGTATACAAAATTTTATGAAAATCGGTTCAGCCGTTTGAGCGTGAAGAAGTTACAAACATACACACAAACTCACAAACTTTCGCAATTATAATACCTACCTATTAGTAGGACTACTTATTAGATCACACATCATAATAACCTACGTTATTATGATGTGTGATCTAATAAGTTTATGAGAATTTTACCTATTTATATGATATATGGTTCCGGAAGAGGCTTTTTGATTTGAACTAAATAAAGTAGAGAACAAAAACAAAAAGATATAAACGAATTTCGTGCATATATAAAGAGACAAGTTTATAATATCAGTATGGGTTTTATATGTATATATCTATACTAATATTATAAAGCTGAAGAGTTTGTTTGTTTGTTTGTTTGTTTGTTTGAAAGCGCTAATCTCCGAAACTACTGGTTCGAATTGAATAATTCTTTTTTTGTTGGATAGTCCAGTTATCGAGGAAGGCTGTGGGCTATATAACATCACGCTACGATCAATAGGAGCAAAGATATAGTGCTAAATGTGTAAAAAACGGGAAAAATTATTTCATCTTTGGAGCCTTCCGTTGCGTGCGCCGTGAAAACGGTTCAAGATACACAAAAATTATGTATGAAAGAATAATAGCTCTTTTAATGATCTAACAAACAGTCCTCGACAGTATATGTCTATCTTTTAATATTAAATCACAAAAACCGTTTTTATGGTACCTAATTTGGTCGAAATAATTTGTTAAAGTTGTATCAACATGATAATATTAATCTTTATTCAAATAAATATGTTGTTGGTTAAGAGTACTTCATTATGAATAAAAAAAAACATAGGTTCTATCCTGAAAATTCTACGGGAACTCGACCATTCGATTCGAACTATGTGGGAAGAACCAAAAATCTGCCGGAAGTCACTATTCCACGCGGACGGAGTCGCGGCAGAAGCTAGTATTATATATATATGTTCAAGGCGTTATGTTCGGTTTTTAATGTGTGCTGTCTTTCAAATATCATTTATATATTAATGAGATTTCATTCTACTGATAGAGTTCTAACTATGATATACTTATATCTATGGGAATGTGAGAGAGTAAAAAAATGACAGAAACAAAGTCGCAGGAAACATCTTGTATTGAAATGCAATTACAAATGAAGTATGCTTAGCGTAATACAAACCAGACAATTTATAAAAAGTGATATTTAATAAAAACTTTATCCGTCTCACTTTCCTAATATCACAAAAAGTGTAAGTAAATTTAATATTTATTTAATAAAAATATATCTAGTTTTTTAATCTATTACCTAATAATGTTATTTAATCCGTGGCTACTGGCTGCTATTCTCGTTTTTGTATCTGAAAAACAGCAATCTTGCCCTTAAATTTAATATAAGTTTAGTTTTTATTATATATAAAAGAAATACATATTAGGTAATCTATTACATACTTATAGCTCTACAAGAAATAAGGCTAATTTAAAACTAATCTATATACCGGAAACGTCAAAATGACTTTCTTCCTGTCAATACAATGTTTCATTTATAATAGAACCTCCTACATCCTTGTCATTTGCAACTTCCCTCCAAAGAGAAATACTTTTTTACATTGACTCTTTGAAACTCTTACTGTTTATATTTAAAGTTATTAGCAATATATGATATATGTACTTATGCATTAGAAATATGTAAAGTTTAATATGATGTGAGATTTTCGGAAAACTAATATTTTCGGATTTACTACGCGTTTTTGTTATTTTTGACTACAAACTACATACTCCCAACGCTTCGGCTGCTTTATTTAAAGTTTGTCTAAATTTAAAAACGTGTTGGTTTCAAGCTTATAGTTGCAAATAATTTGAAATGTTTACAAATAAGTACATTCAAAACATAAAATTACTTTAGGTAGAGAATAAAAAAAATTAATATAGCAATACTGCAATATAACATACATATAATTAACCAAATAAAAAAATAATATGTCGCAGTTACGTAAAAAAATAGCAATTTGGTAACAAAATAATATCCGGTTAATACCGGTTATTTCTATTTCTGTTAGTAAAAAATATAATTACTAGCACCTTACAAATGACATCTATATGTCTAACACCCCGTGTTTAAGGGCTGAATGTTATTTGGTAGATTTGGTAACGGAAGCTTATGCAGACCATTTTTAATGTCTAATGTTTTGAAACACGGAATTAGTGCTCCAGTTACGGTCAACGCATTCGATACTGTTTTGTTTATTTTTATTCATATACTAATATCTATTATATTTGTTAGTTAAGTCGTATTGATTATAATGCATATGTGTTTTATTTGATAGAATTCATTATAATTATATTAAAATTTATATAAAAGACGTAAAAGAATTCAAAAAAGGCGTGAGTGATTATGATTTTTAAGAATATTCAAAAGAAGTAAGAAAATGTACATCGTTCAAATGAACTATAAAATATTGGATACTTTTAAAACGACACTCCTATTAAGTAATAATTTTTATATCATTGAAAGCATCTAACGCGGTAACATAAACGAGATGATTCCAACCGCATTAATGATACGGGAGTGGTCATTATAACACATCTCAATTTA